TCCCCAGGATACAGTACTGCAGACACGGATGGTCTTCATAAAAGACACAAGATTGGAATTAATTGGTGGAGGAAAATAAATGAGAGACTGTGTTAAGCCTATTAGTCTAAAGTAAACAGGTCATGTAAGCCTGATGCTCTGAGTTCTGCTTATTGCATAAACAGTTGGGTGCAAGTTCTGTATCCAGTTTCCGGACACACATCTTTTTAAATTAAAAAATAAATAGTAGTGGCAGAAAAATAATCAACTGTCTCTTGGACCACCCACATGGTGTATAACCCAGTGGAAGAATTACCTATTCAAGGCTAATGTGTTTTACAGTTCTATAGTTATCAGGTTTAAACTGCCTAAAACCATTGGAAGTTACATATAAAGATACCTCTGTATTAGGCATTCATCTTTCTGAAAGAAAACTTTAATTTGGGTTGAATCAACCCATCTTCCAAGGGAAATTTGTCTCATATACTTACCTGCTATGTAAAATCATACATTGTATTAGCTTGATTCTTTCATGCTTTCTTTTATTGCCTTTACTGGGAGTTTCATATGTCAGATGACCTCAGGATTGGATGTGTAGTGTGGCCAACACATGGTGTTTATACTTTGCAGCAGGTAGTGGCCATAGTTGGTACATGGGGGAGGTAATATGCTGGTCAAGGACCCTAGTCATACAGGAAAGGTCGTTGGGTACATAACACTGAGTGGCTATAAATACAGTCCATGGACAGATCAAGACTTTTTTGTAGTTATTTAAGAACAAAATCCTGCTGATGCTCAGCACAATAATGCTCTTCATTTCAGGGCCTGGAGTTGAATTTTCAACTTCATTCCTTGGGAATTAATCCTGGATTATGCTTTTCCTTTTATCTTAGCTGAAAGGTGAACAGTTTATTCTTTGATCACAAAGTTGGAAAAATAATTAAATACATTATCCATAACAGCATTGATATTGCAAAAAAGATAGCTCAGGTCCTTGGAACAGAAATCCAGGGTATTGTTTTATATTTCCTGCAAGAATTAAGTTCCTCCACCAATAACTTTTTTGCACTAGGAGTGGGAATAATAATGAGATAATAGTAAAGCAAAGTTTAACAAATATGATCCGCTGCTAGTAATGGGACGTCTTTTATATTTGTTAAATGTTGTTATATTAACCCTATTATACCATTCATTATTGCCATTGGTAGTGCAAAAAAGTTTGGTGGGGGGAACTTAACTCTTGCAGGGAAGTGAAGAGTTTGAAAGCAGGTAAATGCAGCATGCAAAGTACCAATACATAAAATGTGCATCCTAAATTTGGCAAGGAAACATTAGCCTGTTGCCACACAAACTGAGATGAGAAACACATAATTGTTCCCTACAAGTATTCTCCATTGGTTTGTACACTTCCATTTTAAATTCCTCATGTAATGGGGAACCTTAGAAGATTATTGCACAATCAGATGGCTCCCATCCCATGGCTTGTCCGCACAGAAGAGAAGCACAGAGGGAAAGTTTAGGGTGCCACTACCATGCCCAATCCTGGCTCTCCTATAACATGTGTAATTGACACTCCACAGGCTCTTTACATGCTGAAATATGGAGGAGTGTTTGGGGCAGAGCTCACAGGAATGAAAATTATGTTAATTTGTGCATTTGAGAGAGTAACTCAAAGAGCTAGAATTGGACCTTAAGTGTTTTGGCTTCAAGTAATTGATCATGGTTATCACATGCCAATGTCCTACCCACCCCCATCAGTCACTGTGTAAATTCTTTTTGCAGACATCAATCCCACTAGCTCCTTAATAACTTCTGCTTTACTCTTGGGTTCCATCCAGTTGGTTGATCTTTCTCTTGTACTGAGGTGCCCAGCACTGGGTGCAATATTCTCAGTGTGATCTTACAACCGACATTGTTGGGGGACTCTCCTCTTGTTGGTCTGTGATGTGATGCCTCTGTACTCGCAGACGGAAACTCCATTAGTTTGTTTTTCCATTCTCATCTAATTAGCAGTCCATTGTCACCCTCACGCTCTTCCAGCAGTCCTGCTTTCCAAGCAGAAACATCTGCCTCCCATGGAGTGTTTGATTAGTTTCCTCCAGATTTTAATAGCTGTATTTTTCCCCATTGAGTCTCATTTTGTTATGTTCTGCTCATGTTTCTAGTTACTCTGTGTTCCTTTATTATTTATCTTTTTTCTCTGTTGTTCACGGATTGGCTTATAATAGAAGGGCTGATACAACAGTGATTTTACCTAGGGCTTGAAAAGAGCCCCAACTGATAGTACTTGGCTTCCACCCCAAAGACTTTCTGCATGAGACAGTCTTTATTTTGTAACTGAAAAAAAGTTCAGTCTGAGAATTGCCTGAAGGCACTGAGGGCCTAATTCTGTTGCCAAGGAATTTTGCCCTGGCTTGGAAGGGCAGAGGGCTGGCAATTCCCTATCGCTTTTCACCTTCAGACCAAGAGTAGAGTAACAATGGGAGATTGACTGATTTACTCCATGTAAATTATGTCACTCAGGTGTGAATTAGCCACCCTGCTGAGTGACATAACTTATGCTGATTTAAGCGCTGGTGTGGACAGCGCTATGTCAGGGGGAGAAAGTCTCCTCCTGACATAGCTGCTGACACTTGAAGGAGCTGGAGTCATTAAGCCAACGAGAGAGTTCTCTCCTTTCAGCTTAGAGTGGCTACACTAGAGTGATTACAGTGGCGCAGCCGTATCAGTGCAGCTGTGCCTCTGTCAGCTCTCTAGTGTAGCCATAGACGATGGGACTGATGTAACTCCCACTGAAATTAATGAAAAGACTTCCATTGTCTTCAGAGGGAGTGGGGATCACTAGATTAAGGGAAATGATTATCTTAATCATAGGAAGAAAATGAGGTGGCTGCTGCTATGAAAAGAATCCAGCCTTCTGCAACATTATGTGACTAAGAAATAAAAACCCAGCTGTCTGAATTTTCAAGCTTTCTAGTTTTTAAGTCTTGTTAATCAATTTTTAATGCAAAAATAAAAAGGGTAGAAAAATGCCGCCCATCCCTCCACAGAATAATTGATTTCTATGAGACCTTAACTAAATATCTACAAACAAATGCTCTGCTTCATTCTGACAGGCCTGAGAGGGTAACATGAACGGGGCAATGGAAACCAAAAGAACACAGGCTGCGTTTGTAAAATTCTCTGGAAAATGTTATTGGCAACCCATGCTTTATTTTGGAGCCACCATATAACTGGGATCACAGGCATATTTGTGAGGAATGCAAATAAGGAAACATTTGAAATATTTGGCAAGTTTGCATCCAGAAATAATGCTTCATTACAGCGTACAATAAGAGAAACCGAAGTATTTCTGTGGTAATTTACAATGCTTCTTAAATCTGTTTAACTTGGTCGTTTTTAAAAAATCTGTTTGCATTTTCTAAGGCGGTTTACAAGTACATAGGTGTGTATGAATGTATGAATTTAGGTGTAATATAAAATAGAGGTGAGAATACAGGCTCCCCAAATTTTGGTACACTGTGGTTAAGAATTTATTGTACTGTTACAGAAATGTTCTCAGGTATTATTGCAGTCATGTTGTACACAGGTATCTGGTGAAATCTGTTAGCTCCACAGGTAGTTTCTGTAGTGTTTTAACGTATGTAGGTTAATGGATATTTAGTTCAGAATTGTTATACTCAGGCAAATGTGCAGGTATTGGTTATCCAGAAAGCAAATGAGAGGTACATTTGTCTAGTGGTGTTACAGTGTAATTTGAGCTCAAGGTCCTCTTGTTTTGCTTTTGTTCCTTGTACATTACAAGTGACTATAAAGCATGCCACTTGCCACCTAGAATTGAAATTGTCCAATCCAAACTATGGTCTGTTCTGTGTTCTGTATTTCTGGTCTATTGTTGAGCCACATTTTAGAAACAAGCTTTCCTATTCTGAGCCATAAGGTTGTGATGTGCTTACTTGATGCTGCTGTTAATATTGTTAGTTGTCTTGTGGCTCTGAATGTGTGTGTTTGGCAGCAGGAAGTCTCTTAGGCTGGATTTTTTTTTTAATTCAAATGTATGTCAAAGATTTTCTGTAGCTTTTTTGTGTGTATGAGCAAAATGTTTGAAATCTGTCCCAGAAAATGTGTGTGTGTGTACAGTGAACTACTAAATCACCTTAAAGTTATCTTTAAAAGTCTGTAATTAATCTTTAATCTTTAAACATTTTTTCAAGGAGTGGGATAAAATGATGGATTTGTTGTCAGCGAGGTTTAACATGCTTCTTGTTAACTGACATCTCTCAGGGGACATTGAAGTTTTTTTTCACCACGTGCCTACATAGGGGGTTATTCTAGAACTTTAGAAAGGACAACCTGTTATAACTTGACAATGCTTATATCAGGGGTTCTCACACTTTTTCATAATGGGATGGTTTTTCATTCAGTAGAAAATCCTGCTTTCCACTGGAGAAAAGTTTCAGACAGAAATATTTTGATCAGCCCTACTCATAATGTAAGTAGAGTGCATGTCTCATGAACACCTTCCCTCCTACTGGCAATCACACAGAGCACCTGCTTTCCCATTCCCAGATGCATAACACCTCTATGGCAAACTACAGTAATTGTCTGCCTCAACAATAGAATACGGAAAGCTGTCTTTAATGTGATTCAGCAGCTCCAAGCAAGGAGGAGAGCCAGAACCATCACCCCAATCTTGCACTCACTCATACATGCGCTCAGCTTTACTCATAAGAATAAGCATTTGCAGGATAAAGGCCCATGTAACCAGCCCACACTCCTCCAAGTACCAGCAGTCACTGTGTGGACCATGGTGATTCATAGACAGTTTGAAAACCACCATCCTGCACTCTTTTCAGAATGGCTCGTGAGAAGCTGAAGATCAGATTCCTTTTGAGGGCTTTGTGAAGTTGAGAAAGGGAATAGAGGGGCAAGTTTAGTGGGGGAAATGATAGCAAGTGAGACGTTTGCTGGTAGTACTGAGCTTTATTAAATCCTTTGTCTCCTTTTTCTGTTTTCACCAGGTAGCTGCATTTTGTGATGTTGATGAAAAAAAAATAGCAAAAGGTTTCTACACTTACCAAGAATCCAAGGTTAGTAACAACTACTGTCCTTTCCATTACTGTCAACTGGAATTATCTTGTGAGAAGTGACATTCTAAGCTCATTGGACAAACAACAAAAAGAGGGTCACTAATTTTAAATATAGTGAAGAATTATAGTATGCAGTCCATACTGTATTTATTTAATTAGGGGTCTAGGTGCTGGGGATGGGTAATGGAACGCGTGGAGTTTTTCTTCCTGTACAGTAGGGAGCCAGAGTGACATTCAGCACCAATTGTGAAGGTGTTTTTTTGTAATCTGAGAACTGAACGAGAGCAGCAACTCATTTCACATAGTGTATAGAACAGATGGTAACAAGTTTTGGTCAGTTCCAACCCATGCTAGAATGAAACCATTGGCCCCTCTTATGTTAGCAATCCTGCACCCTCCAGTCTCCTCACCAATAGCTATCGCTACAGGTGGGGAATAAGCAGGCAGAAACAGAGACTCTTCAGGAACAAGGATCCTGTTTTCATGTAGATATCTCTAGAAATGCAGAATAGGAAAGGGAATTACGTGGTTTGGATGGGGAGGGAAGATTTATAGAAGCAGAATTATTTCCCTGAAGACTGTTTTCCACGAAGATTCAACTGCTCTTTAGTAGGAGAGGGGAAATGGAATGATGTGGGGTTTCATGACTTAGCATCTCCTGTGTCAATAAATTATACCAATAAAAAGCATGATCACAGCAACTCTGTGTGGGAGAGAGGTCAGTTTCTAGGTCTAAGGTAAGGGAAGTTCTTTGTACTATAGTTGAGAGGTAGCCAGGAGCACACTGCAGTCACTGAAAATGTGGTCAGTTTAGAGGGGAAGAAAAACAAATATCTTTTTAATGTATTCTGTGTATGGGGACAAACTCCTGTTGAAGTGAGTTTTGCTACTGACTTTAGTGGGAGCAGGATTTGGTCCATGATGCATAAAAGCTAAAATCTATGGTGAAAGAAAGAAAGAAGTTTATGGTTATTTATAGACCCATATTCAACCTAGCACAGTATTTCTCTTTGAAGAAGAGTCCAAAGGATAGATTGTAACATGCTCCCTAGGTGACATCTCTCTCACTAGCCCAGCTGGGAATCACCTGGACAAAATGCAGGCAGCAGGTTTTTGTGCCACTGAAGATAAAGGACGAAGATATTTAAATGGCAGTAAATGAACCATCTAAAATGAAAATGTCACAGTCCTGGTGCAATATCAATTTTTATGGTAATAAAACAATTTAGCTCCACTCTCGAGAATCTACTGTAAGCATAAGGCCAGATTCAGTGCTCTTGATTTCACTGGGCAGTCAGACCCTTGGAGCTCAGTACTCTGAGAAGCTGATGTATGCCGTCAGCTCGTGCTGAAGGCAATGGGAATTGAGGTGTTTAGTAACTTTGTAATATCCAGGGCCTTCATTCTTGACGATCCAGTTGAAATATTTGTGTAATAAGCTCTGGCCTGAAATCATGTGTGTATCTGTCTACGGCATGTATACATCTCAAATTAGTGGTCATATAAAAAAGTGCACCAGAAACAACATTCTGTAGGTTGGAGTTAAGAAAGCTGATTGTATGAAAGATGAAATTAGTTATTGGGTGTTACAGAAAGTAGTAGTTTATGGTGACCCAGAAACTACATTGTATTTGAAGTGAAAGGCAAAATAATGAGCATGAGTATATAACCACTTGAGCCATTCTAATACATGATCTTTGAATACAATTTCACTCTTTAATGCCAAGCAACCCCCATTACTGAGCTAAAAATAACCCTTTGTTTTCTAACCAAATTTCATTGTTTGCAGGAGAGACCAAAACCCAAAATTCCCATACAACATTTCAGAGACGCGACCCCACCTTTCGTTATCTGTGTAAAGTTGGTGAGTACAGTTTTTGGCATAAGCTAAATGAACCACATCTGTATCTACAAGCATTACCCTAATTAAGGATGTGCTTTTGTTTTTATTGTAAAACACATTTTCCAGTGGTTTATAGAAGTGTTTTTAGTTGGGCTGTCAAGCGATTAAAAAAAAAATCTACATTTGTAAGTTACACTTTCGTGATAAAGAGATTGCATTATGGTACTTGTATGAGGTGAATTCAAAAACACTATTTCTTTGTTTATCATTTTTATAGTGCAAATATTTGTAATAAAAAATAACATAAAGTGAGCACCGTACACTTTGTATTCTCTGTTGTAACTGAAATCAATATATTTGAAAATGTAGAAAAGCATCCAATAATATTTAATAAATTTCAATTGGTATTCTATTATTTAACTGTGATTAATCGCGATTAATTTTTTTTTAGTTCATTGCGTGAGTTAATTGCGATTAATCGACAGCCCTAGTTTTTAGTCAAAACTCATCCGAAGATGTAGAGGCCAATTTTGTGAAATTGTTTTTAGAGATTATTGCAGGGAGGGAATGGAAATGTTGGAGTAATATTAAGAGTAATAAAAGCAAGGATATCTTTAAAGGGTCCTTAATCTGGTCTCCCTTTTTGACGTACAGTTTTGTGGGCACAAATGTGGTTGCATGTTGCAGACATGGTTGGTCACTTGCCCTTGTTTATACCGAAAATATTGCAACCATAACTGTGTTCAGGCACACAAACTGTGGGTGCGGAAACAGAGACTTTGTTTTATAAATCAAGCCCTTAAGTTATCATGTGCAACATGCCCATCCTTAAGCCTCTTTTGCGTCTGAGTACTGCTGAGAGTCAAAGACTGCAACTGTTTTCTCTTTCACTCATTCGATTGACTCCTGAATTACTAAAAGATGAGCAGCAGATATTCTGCTATTACATTAAAATAACAACATAGCACAACCCAAATAAGGAACAACACAAAAGCATCAGATCAGATGCTGAAAGGCATGATAGCAAATACACTCTTACTGTGAATACTAAAAGTTACTGAAACTTGCAACTAATGCTACATATTTAAATACTATTTTGGCAGGTTTCCTTCATATAAACAAAGACATTTAAAAAACCTATTCAGTTTGTATGATTATTTAGCTGAAACTCATCCCCTATAATCCCTTTTGACCTTAGCGCCCCCAAGGTTAGGGTCAGTACAGAGATCAAAGTACTTCACAGTTGTAAAACCAGACTGCAAGTACCCCAGGGCATTATCCTGTAGACAGGTTGGTACTAAGCCTGACATTGACATTGGTAATATTGCAACTAATTTAATTTTTCATATGAAACATAATGGTGGGTGGAAGGCTGAGGACAAAACAGCTGTGTAACCTATTATACAGTGCATCTAATTTCTGAAGCCCTGACAAGGAAGCTATTATACAATATCTTGTCTGCTCTGAAAACTCTGATCCATGATTTCAACTGTAATTTTACAGTACTTTTCTCTATCAGTGACTGTATTCTGTGTGCAGACTACACTATACTGCATAGCACCTTTAAAGACACTGTTTTTGGAGCCACAATTTTGTCTACTTAGATGGAATTTTTGTGAAATGGCCTCTGGAATCTCAATATCTTTTAATCACCTTTCTGTTGATGTGAAATTAAGAATGAAAATAGTCACAATTTTGGTGTCAAATACCCAGAGACCGTGGCCAGGTAACATCCTCATTTAAACTTTTGCACCCTACTGTCTGAGCTGTCTTGTTGGCTGATGGTAACACTGATGTTACTTCCTGAAGAAACTACAATCCATCGGTGATCTTCCTGAAAACACCATCCTGGCCACTATGGATGTAGAAGCCCTCTACACCAGCATTCCACACAAAGATGGACTACAAGCCATCAGGAACAGTATCCCTGATAATGTCACGGCAAACCTGGTGGCTGATCTTTGTGACTTTGTCCTCACCCATAACTATTTCACATTTGGGGACAATGTATACCTTCAAATCAGCAGCACTGCTATGGGTACCCGCATGGCCCCACAGTATGCCAACATTTTTATGGCTGACTTAGAACAACGCTTCCTCAGCTCTCATCCCCTAATGCCTCTACTCTACTTGTGCTACATTGATGACATCTTCATCATCTGGACCCATGGAAACGAAGCCCTTGAGGAATTCCACCATGATTTCAACAATTTCCATCCCACCATCAACCTCAGCTTGGACCAGTCCACACAAGAGATCCACTTCCTGGACACTATGTTGCTAATAAGTGATGGTCACATAAACACCACCCTATACCGGAAACCTACTGACCGCTATTCCTACCTACATGCCTCCAGCTTTCATCCAGACCACACCACACGATCCATTGCCTACAGCCAAGCTCTACGATGCAACCGCATTTGCTCCAACCCCTCAGACAGAAACAAACACCTACAAGATCTCTCTCAAGCATTCTTAACAACTACATTACCCACCTGCTGAAGTGAAGAAACAGATTGACAGAGCCAGAAGAATACCCAGAAGTCACCTACTAGAGGACAGGCCCAACAAAGAAAATAACAGAATGCCACTAGCCATCACCTTTAGCCCCCAACTAAAACCTCTCCAACGCATCATCAAGGATCTACAACCTATCCTGAAGAACGACCCATCACTCTCACAGATCTTGGGAGACAGGCCAGTCCTTGCTTACAGACAGCCCCCCACCCTGAAGCAAATACTCACCAGCAACCACACAACAGAACCACTAACCCAGGAACCTATCCTTGCAACAAAGCCCATTGCCAACTGTGTCCACATATCTATTCAGGGGACACCATCATAGGGCCCAATCACATCAGCCACACTATCAGAGGCTCGTTCTCCTGCACATCTACCAATGTGATATATGCTATCATGTGCCAGCAATGCCCCTCTGCCATGTACATTGGCAAACTGGACAGTCTCTACATAAAAGAATAAATGGACACAAATCAGACGCCAAGAATTATAACATTCAGTCGGAGAACACTTCAGTCTTTTTGGTCACTCGATTACAGACCTAAAAGTGGCAATATTACAAACAAGGCTTCAAAAACAGACTCCAACGAGAGACTGCTGAATTGGAATTAATTTACAAACTGGATACAATTAACTTAGGCTTGAATAGAGACTGGGAGTGGATGGGTCATTACACAAAATAAAACTATTTCCCCTTGTTTGTTCCCTCCACCCCACCCCCCACTGTTCCTCAGACGTTCTTGTCAGCTGCTGGAAATGGCCCACCTGGATTATCACTACAAAAGGTGTCGTCCCCCCCCCGCTCTCCTGCTGGTAATAGCTCACCTTAAGTGATCACTCTTGTTACAGTGTGTATGGTAACACCCATTGTTTCATGTTCCCTATGTATATAAATCTCCCCACTGTATTTTCCACTGAATGCGTCCGATGAAGTGAGCTGTAGCTCACGAAAGCTTATGCTCAAATAAATCTGTTAGTCTCTAAGGTGCCACAAGTACTCCTTTTCTTTTTGTGAATACAGACTAACATGGCTGCTACTCTGAAAACTGATGTTACTGGAGCTGAGATCATAAATTCTGCTAGTGAGGTAGCAGAGAAAGAGGCCACTGCACAGGCCTTGAGCAATATTAAAACCATAAGAGAATATAATAGCGGCCAAGTGGACAAGGACTAAATTGAAAAGAGAAAGGGCTTCTTTTGAGATTTCTTTCTTCTAAGGATCTCAAATCAATTTGTACACATTAACGATGGGGCACTGAGAGCTTAAATGACTGTCCAAGGATACAGAGGAGGTCTGTGGCAGATCCAGGAATTGAAACCTGATCTTAAGCCCTGTTTATTATTATTTATTATTATTATTTATTTGTTGTATAATAGTGCCCAGAGGCCTTGACTAAGATCAGGGCTCATTGGTGCTAGGCACTGTTCAAATGTATAGCACGGGTTGGTCCCCAAAGAGCTTGCAGTCTTCTCAGACAAGACAAAAGATGGGGTGGGAGGGGAGAAACAGAGCCAGAGAGGTGAAATGGCTTGCCCAAAGTCACCCAGCAAGTTCAGTGGTTTCCTGAGTCCCATTCCAGGGCCTTGTCCACTGGACCATTCTGCCTCTTTTTTTTTCTCTCTCCCCTTTTGCCTTTGCAGGTCACCTTTATGTAGTGTTCTTCCATCAGCCCTCTTTCTGCCAACAATACACATAGTGTAACTTATGTTAGTACGACACCTTCTTGCAGAGGCTGCATGAGCTTGATTTAAATTGAAATCTAATTCTTACTGGCTGTGCTATTGTGGCTGGACTTGAATGACCACACCTTTCGGTAGTCATTTTTAATCTGCTCTGGAAAGCAGCCCTACACCGAAAACAAAACAAGCCTGTAACACACTGTGGTTTAAAAGATTTAGGTCTCCTGTGTGGAGAAGTCCTCATACTTTAGACCTGACCACTACAGGAAATGGTTTCTAAACTGATTGAAATCTGCAGAGATGTTGAACTTTCATTGATCTGTGATGATATTGTGCAGACTTAAGTATAAAGCTGAGGATTCGGTCTTTATTATATTTTTAGACTGTTTGAACTTGCTTTGTTTTCTGTGGAGCCCACATCTGAAAAATGAGCTGAACAACAGACCTACCTCACTGCTATTTATTTAATTCACCTCCCCCCAGAATGTGCTGTCAGATCTGAGCTTTCACAATCCCATCTCTGCTGACGATCACAAAGGAGTTGGAGGTAGCAGAGCAGCCTGTAGACACAGTTATGCAGCTCATCAAAAACAAAGAGTAAACTAGGCGCAATAGCCAGAAAAACAGTGATATAATCAGTGATGGAATGGGAAGGGAATTAACACAAACTAATATTAAGGCTGATTATGTATAATAATCCTTTTCCATAGTCATGGATATCTTTGGCGTTGTAGTGCTTTTGACACAAATTAATCAGTGGGAACAATGCAAAAAAAGCACTGATTTAATGAGTCACACTACGATGTAAGCAGGAGATTCTT